AAAAAAAAAGGAAAAAGTGAAAAATCCCTCTCCCTGCCTATGAAACGCTGCAAAGGCGTCGCGGGGCCCTCGGGTGGGCGAGTGGATCCTCGTGTGAATTTACAGATGAGTTTCCCAACTCCCCACGTCATGAAGGGCTCTCCTTTCCCTTGCGCTGCGAAGAACATGTTCTTAACTCTTTATTATTCAGAATAAAAACTTTATTTTTTTTTTTTCAGAACGTGAGCAGCAAGGAATGTATAACTTTCAAAACAAATCTAGCCTTTTCAGCTTCACACGCTTTCTGCCTAGCTGGATGTTACAAGCATAAAGTATTCAAACTGTGATCTTTTTCCCAGATTTTATTGCATCGTCATCATCATCGTTATCACCATTTTTAATAAAAGGAGTTATAGTTTCCTTTCAAATGATATCTCCTATGCGTGCCGATATGCCATCTAACATATGGCCAGGTAAATACTTCCTGAATATTCAGGGTACAGATTTTTTTATATATATATAAATATGAACAAATGGGGATAAATAAAATTTTAAACACTTAGATTATTCAATGTTTGCAAAAAAAAATATAAATAAATCTGAATGTTCACCAGCATACACACATTGAAAGACTTACACGTATTAATAATTGTCCAGGGAGTCCCTGTCCAAGCGCTTTTGATGTCTTTCTCGCTATTTAAAAGAAGTGCAATAAAAAAAATTGCTTCCCCGTGGGATCAATCATGTACGAACAAATTCACATTTAAGAATTCCTTTTATAGAAAATTTGTTCATATACCCTGTTTTGATAAAAGTGTAGAAGGTAAAGTATAAAGCCTCTGCATACTCCCAAAGTGAGACACAAGGCTACAGTTCAAGAAGATAAATATCCACTAGTGAAACTATAGAGCAATTCAAGCAACAAATATTGCTACGTCACATAAACTAGAAAACGCTTTTACCAAAGGAAACAAAACAAACCAAAACAAACAAAAGAAATGAGACGGGGAGGGGAGGGCACATGGTGGGGGGAGGAAAGAGAGAAGGGAAGGGGTGAGTACTTTCCAAAAGCTGGGGGCTTGGTGTTCCACTTAGTGACTCCTGTCTCTTACAGATGGGTGAGTTTGGGCGCTTCCTGAATTCTTCCCTGAGAAGGATGGTGAGCGGTAAGGTCTGTGTATGTTGGGTGCGGATCGCAAGGTCCATGGTGGTGATTGTTGGCCATTGGCCCAGCCCCGCTGTAGTCCATGTTGGCAGAGGGAGGATGAGGGAGATGAGTTAGACCAAAGATGGAAGGCCCGGAATTGGTCATGGTCTCCACATAGTTGCCCCCTACATAGACGGGGCTTCCCTGTATATGTGGATTCCCATAACCGTTGCCTTGAAGAGGATGAGTATCGTATTCAGGTGTCACAGCTGCTGTCCCCGTGTATCTCTTTTGAGGAGGTGGGCAATTATTAAGAGGAGCGGTATACGATGCAGGGATGCCATAGGTGTTTTGATGAGGCTTGTTAAATGGCGGAGGCGACTGGGGCTCGTAGGGGACACTGTTTACTAAAGAATGCATAGAGTTTAGATATCCCCCAGCAGCTGGAGGGACAGGGCTTCTGCTTGGGGACTGTCCTCCTGAAGAGGTCATCATGCCCTTGCCCTTTTGATCCTTTTTGTATTTCATTCTGCGGTTCTGAAACCAGATTTTGATCTGTCTTTCTGTAAGATTGAGCAAATTAGCCATCTCTACCCTTCGTGGCCTGCAAAGGTACCTATTGAAGTGGAACTCCTTTTCCAGTTCTACCAGCTGGGCACTTGTGTAAGCTGTACGGGCTCGCTTAGAGGAGGCTTGCCCTGGAGGGCTTTTATCACCAGCACAACTCTCACCTATGTAAATCACACAAAGAACACAATCAGCATGGCGAACCCAGACACGGCAACCAGAGACAATGGGCCAACAACACCAGCACCTGGAGACTCCAGCTCTCAGACACGAGATGGACGCCCACATGTGCAACGAGTACTCGCCCCTGGCATGAGCTCAGCCGTGCCAAGCTACAAGCCTCAATAGACTTCCTTCACCTCATTAGCGTCACTATAGGACTACACTTGCTTCCTTTAAGAATGACCGCATACGACATATCTTGAGCTTTGCATAAAGAAGGAAGAAACATTCAGGGAAACATGGTGTGGTTTAGAAACTTTGAAGGTGAACCTATGGCTCTGCTAACATAGTGGGATCAGGGTCTTCAAGAGCTAGCAGTTCTCCATTGCTGTAAAGACCCGCAGCCCTCTTTTTCTGAAAACCCTGATATATACACATCAGCTAGAGATGCCTGGAAGTTAGGTATCTACAATAAAACATTATAACATATAAGCATAGAATTGACAGTATAGTGTTGCTGTCACGTCTAGCATATAGCATAAACATATGGTAGTGATTGGGAAGTATAATATACATAAGAACATACGGTGGCTAGGCTTGCATATAGGCATACAGACATATTTAAATGATACTGCTTTTTAATAAAACAAATACACCTTATGGGAGACTGTAAACAGCAATGTTACCAGTGCTTTAAAAAGCAGACCGGTGAAGACATTTGCTAAAGTTTTGGACTCTATTTCCAAGGCACATTTAAAAGAAAAAGAGGAAGAGGTTAATATAAGCCCAAATCCTGGGCACTGGAGCTAGCACTGGTGTTATAGACTCGAGTTTCCTCAAGTAGTAAAAGCGTTAATATACACTTCCATCCCCCAAATAATATTTTATGGGCTGAAGTTTATGGCACTCCAGAATGATTTTTGTTTACTGGGCTTGTAACTTTGCCAATCAGCTTGTTAAAATAGGAAGAGGTTCTGACTGCATGCAGGGCATTGATCCTGCCTGCACGTGATTATGAGCTATTTTATTCCTGTTACACTTCAGCAGAGATAGGTCACTGTCTTATTAATCTAACAGCACTGTGCCAACAAAGTACTCGGGACAGGCTTCTGGCTTAAGGCCTGGGCTGCTCCGCACTGACATGATTTACTGGAGGGGGGATTACCTAGGAAATGTGACAGATGCAGGAGGGCACGAGTGGTTTAGCCACTAGGAAACAAAATCACTTCAGACCCATCCTGCAAGGCTGAGAAAGTTCTGCAGAGGGTGGTTCGTTCACTGAGCTCCCCTTGCAAGTGGTGGCAACCCCTTTCCAATAGCTCAAGGGGGTCAGCTGGGAGAGGAAAAAAAGCCCCCTTCCTCCCCTCCCTGAAGTGAAGGTGGGCAAGGCTGCCCTCGTCCCCGCCGGATGCGTGGCCAGCCCAGGGGTACCCAGGGAGAGAGGGGAGCGTGTTTCATACCTGAACTGGAACTGCTGTTTTTCTGCTTTGTGTTTTGCCGAGATTCTTTCATCCACGGGAATATCTGTTTGGACATGGTGGGCGAGTTAAGAGCCGGGCTCTTGGTGGGGTTGGCCGGGGCAGGGTTGCTGCTGGCATTTTGAGATGGTGAGGCAGAGGACGGAGGTGGAGGTTGTGCCTGCTGGGCCGGAGGCGGCTGTGGCGGGGCCTGCGGGTCAGCGAGGCCGGGGGGCTGGAGAGGCTGGCTGGGGAGGGTCCTCATGCAACTCTCACTGATGTCATTGGCCTTGTGGTGGGACACGGAGCTGCCGGGGGACTGGAGGGAGCACGCGGGGCGGTGGTACTCAGTTTCCACAAGTGATGAAGATGGAGGATATTGCTGCTGACTCGCATTATAAGTGAAACCATTTGCTCCTTGGTAGGGGTAGGCACCATAGATTGCAGAGCTGTCGTAGTAGGTCGCTTTTTGCATTTCGTTGTTTCCCAATATTTATTTCGCAAACTGACAGGGTCTTGACACCCTTGGAGAATAACATTGGCACCCCTCTGTCACGTGGCGCTCTTCCTCCAATGGCCTCTCCGGGCAGACCTGGGGTGTGGGGAGAGCAGAGCAGGGTGAAGAAATGGTACAAATCCATCTTACTTTCAATAGCTAAGTGACATGAAAGCCATAAAAGAAAAAGTGGTCAGCAATATTTAGCAGCATGACTTGGCCTCAGGCGCAGAGCATTTCGATATAAAAGCTGCCTGGATTTACTGGCAGCTACAAATATGTGCTTTGCTGCACCAGGATAGGGGCTTTCTAGGGTTTTTTCTTTCTTTCTGCTTAAGAAACAGAGCAGGGCACCACATGGCGAGGGGGCTGATCGTTTATCACCGAGACGCTGTTTTAATACCAGTCTCTGAGATAAGGGTGTTCGAGGAATCAGTAATGCAAAGGGGCTGGGCTGTTCCTTCATTCCAGCTCTAGGATCAAACCCTCTCCTGTAACCGGCGTTGTTTTATTTTTAGCTTTTCTCTCCAGGTTACAGCTCTCCATACAACTTCAAAGAAATACACGAGATTGTTCCTGCCTACGTGTGGCAGGGGGCAGGAGCGGGGTGGAAAGGTTCCCTAGCCAGGGATATTTACACACCCCGATCCCCAGTGACGGATTTTGGCTTGTCTATGAAATGCTCGATAGGAAAATAAACAAAGCCAGCGCCTTCTCCCCTCCGTGCTCGCACACCACCCCCAACCGCCCCGGTCCCCCACCCCGGCAGCAGCCGTTTCTGCCCG